TTTTCTTTCTTTCTCTCTTTCTTTTCTTTCTTTCTTTCTTCTTTCTTTCTTTTTCTTTCTCTTTCTTTCTTCTTTCTTTCTTTTCCTTCCTTCGTTCCTTCATTCCTTCCTTCCTTTTTTCCTTTCTTTCTGTTTCAAAAATTAATCACATTGCCCAGCTTTATCAAGGTATAATTGAAAAATGAAAACTGTATGTTTACAGTGTACAATGTGATGTTTTGTTGTAGTTCATTAACATGTCTGATACACTTAGCATTTCTCTGTGGTGAGACCACTTAAGATCTACTTTCTTAGGGGTATGGAAGTCTTCATTTCTCTGCTGTTTTTTAAGATGTCAGAACACGTCGTAATGCCTTGTTCAATAGGATTGCTTTATTTTCAAGCCCACATGTTAATTAAGAGCATATATTCTAGAGTCAGCGATCTGTGCTGAATCCGAGCCATGTGAACTTGGGCAAGTTAATGTCTCTTTAAGTGCCACAGTTCCCTATATTATAAAATGGGGTTGAGAAGAAAAGCTACCCCAGGACAAAGAGACTATTTACATTGAGTTTAGTGGGTCACAGCCCTTTACTCTGCCACTACAGAGCTGTGTGATCTGAACACATCACAGCCTTTCTGAGCTTGAGCTTCCCCACTGATGACAGCAGGGTGATAATAATAAACCTTTCCTCTTCCATTTTAGCATGAGGACCAACTGGGCCAGTGTATGAAAACTCCAAATGACAAATGTCAGTCATTATTTTTACAGGAGTTTCTTTTCATTCCGTCGTGCCTGATCCCATATGATAGCCAAGAGTTTGGTTGCACTGCCTCAGTTTTAGGGAAGCAAGAAGATGTATAGCCTACAAATAAAAGGAATGACTTTGGCAGCATTTCAGCCCCATGGATATGGGTGCTGAGCCCTGGAAGCCTAGCAAGGCATAGCCAAAAGAAAAATAATCTACTCTCTTAGCAATTTTTAAGTATATGATACATTTTTATGAGTATGGTCACCACAATGTAGCAGACTTTCAGAACCTACTCATCCCAACTGAAACTTTTATCCTTTTATCAGTATCTTCCCCATTTCCTCCACTGTTTCCAACCCCTTGGAACTACAATTCGGATCTCTGTTCCTATAAGTTCAATATTTTTACATTCTGCATATAAGTGAAATTATGTTGTGTTTGTCTTTCTATGTCTGGCTTATTTCACTTAAAGTAATATCCATCAGGTTAAAATTTTCTTTATCCATTTGTCTGGCCATAGACACTTAGAGTGATTCCAGCATAGCCATTGTTAATTTAGCAAGGAAAGTGGGAGTGAAAATATCTCTTCAGTACATTTGTTACTGTTTTGGGGGGATTATATTTCCAGAAGTAATATTTCTGGATCATATGTTAGTTTCATTTTTTTATTTTTTAGTAATTCCCATACTATTTTCCATAATAAATATACTATTTTACATTCCCACCCATAGTGTGCAAAGGCTCCCCTTTTCTTCACATTTTTTCCAACAATTGTCATCACTCATTTTATAATAGCCATTCTAATAGTTTTCTTGTGGTTTTGATTTGCATTTGCTTGATCAGTGATATTGAGCATTTTAAAAATACATGGTTTGGGCATTTGCATAGCTTCTTTTCAAAAATGTTTATTCAGATCTTTGCCTATTTTTGTGTTGTTTTTGTTATTGAGCTTTTTTATATTTCCTTAAATATTTTGGATATTCACCACTTATGAGATATATGATTTTAAAATATTTTCTCTTTTCTGTATGTTTTCTCTTCATTCTGTTGATTGCATCCTCTTCTGTGCAGAAGCTTTCTAGTTTAATGAAATCCCCTTTGCCTAATTTTGTTTTTATTGCTTATTGCTCATTTTATTGCTTATTTATTGAAGTCATATTCAGAAAAGTTTTACCTGACTCATGCAAATAAGCTTCTTAAAAATATTCTCTTCTAGTCATATTGTATTTAAGGTATTTTTGTTTAAGTTCTTAATCCATTTTGAACTGATTTTGTATACGATAAAGAAAAGGGTATAATTTCATTATTTTTCATGAGTATATCTAGTTTACTAAATCCAGTTATTGAGGAGACTGTCCTTTCCTCATTGTATGTTCCTGATATTTTTATATTAATTTTATTGGTACATTTTAGGTATACAACACAGTTACATTCATCATTGCGATCTTGTACCTTTACATGATGTATCTTGGTTCTTATTTTTTCCCCATTCCCTTAAATATTCCCAAAAATATCCCCTGATATTTTTGTCAAAGATCAACTTATTATAAATGTGTTGGTTTATTTCTGGGCTTTTTATTCTACTCCATTGTCCATGCACACCTATTAGTTCATGGATTTATTTTTATGCCAGTATAATATTGTCTTTATTACTATAAATTTGTAATATACTCTGAAGTCAAATAGTGTGATGTTTCTAGTCTTTGTTATACTGTATTTGCTCAAGATTGCTTTACCTATTCAGGGCCTTTTGTTGTTCTATGTGAGTTTTGTGATTTTTCTATTTATGTGAAATATGCCATTGTCGTTGTGTTAGAAACTACATTGAATATGTAGATCACTTTGGGTAGTTTGCACATTTTAACAATATATTAATTATTCCAACCTATGAATACAGAGTATCTTTCATTTATTTGTGTCATCTGCAATTTATTTTACCACAAATTAATGTCAATCTGTATCTTTTACCATATTCTCTTTTATCTAAAGTGAATTATCAGATGCATAGCACAAATTTTGCCCATTTGATATAATTCCCTTCTCCACTGCCCTCAGGGCTGCCCTTGAATGAAACTTTAATACTGCAATCATTCACTTTAATATGTCAACACATCATTCATAGCATTCTGTAAGTCAGCCATTTTTTTTCTTTAAAATTAAGTTATAAGGAATCTCTACTGAGCCCATAAGGTATATATGGTATGATCAAAAATACAATGAATTTTAAAATTTTTATAAAGTTATCGTAAAAGATGCATTGCCACTCAAAATGCAATATCAAGTGCATTTTATGAAATGCCATTAGGTTCATCTTTTACACAACCAGCCAGTCAAGATATTAGAGGCATTCTTTGCAGACAAGATAAAGCACTAGGACAAGAATCTGTATTGAATGCACTAGCAGTAACCCAAACCACGATTAATACCTTTGGAATAGATTTCTCTCTCTCTCTCTCCCCCTCCCTCTTTCTCTCTTTCTCTCTCTATCTCCACATATACATACATATATATTATATATCATGAATAGTGTATGCAATATGTAATATATGTAACATTTCTACTTCCCTACTTCTCTTCTAGATCAGTCTCTTTATCCACTTCCCTGCTACAAGGTGCATGGAGTAATTGGAAGGTGATGGTGGATCTTCCGCAAAATCACCATCTTCTAGCAGTGATAAGTGGGATTGGGATCATCACAATGTTTATAGGCAAAAGTTGTTTCACCTCCTCATTGCTGTAATGATGATCTTTATTTGCTGTCAAAGAACATCAAGTGGTATTTGGGATTCTGAGATACTCCTATTCTTTAAAATCTACTCGTATATCATCTAGTTCTCAGAGTTCCACTTTTTCCTATTAAATGCTATAAAAATATTTATGAGAGTGGGCAAGGCTATGAATTTAACTTGTGTTGTAATTCAGCCAGTATCAAATTTAAGATTTCATTTGAAAGCATGAGTGTTTTTGCAACTGCATGTCATTGACTACCAGAATCTCATTTTTCACTAGCAATGCAACGATGACAATTATTATCTTCAAAACATTGAACTAGTCCCAAATTTTCATACTTGATGTTTCAATTACCTATAATTTCTCCAAGTATATATATATATACGTTACTCAAAATTCTTGGAATATATTGTATGGATAATTACGTTTTTTAAAGAGGAGAATCAGAGTCTTACAAAATGATTGGAAGGCCGAGGGGAACAGAGATCATGGACACCATTGTCAACAATCAAAGCCTCAGAATGGTAGCAGGGGGGATCACAGAGGGTCATACTGGTGATCTCTAGTAGACACCTGATAACTTATACACGCACTCACTTTTTTTTTTCTTTTTTTTTTTTTTTGGTACTGAGGATCAAACTTGATTCCTTGCACTTGCAGGGCAGACAGGAGAACCACTGAACTAAATCTCTGGCCCCACGCACTCACTTTTGATGAATACTTGAGTATATAAGATATATTAGTTTTCTCTAATATTATTCTAAGTGATAACTGTTAACTGTCTTTTTATTCCAATGTTAGGAATGTCCTAGGGAATGATACAAATTTTGGCAACCTGGAAGACTTACTACTTTGTTCCCGCCAATTGTTTCTTATTGGAAATATGGTTTAAATTCCTGAAATTATAGATTACACATGTATACGGCAGATAAAGCACTAATTCTATAGAAAAGATGATCAACAGGTCATCAATATGTGTTAACTGATAGCTGTAAAAATGCATAAAACCACTTATGCTAAATATAGTGCTAAATTTTACTATAAGCCAGTCTCAACTCTTCTTTTTTCTGTTATAGCTTCCAAAGTCTATGTTAAAAAGAAGAGTGAGTGTCTGAAGATGATATACAGCATAAAAATGAATAATGCATCCATTTCTTTTCCATTTAATTCTTTGCTTGTCTATTTTGTGCATGGGTAATCAGGCAGTTTTCTTTCTCCATGACAATGTTGCCTAATAAATTGAGGTAGTTTCTCCACGACTGAGATAGATTTGAAAAGTATTATTTAAATTTTAAAACAAATAGAAAATTATATTTCCTTTCAAAAGTGCCCCCATAATTAAAGTGAGCTGAGATTTACTGAGTTTTTGGAAAAAAAGAGCATAAAGATATTATTCAAAGAATAATGGATACAGGTAGTGACATGAAAGTGTGACCTGAGATTATAGATAAGCAGCAGGGACAGACTTTCCTTGGACTACTTAAATATTCCTTAAGCCATATATAAATATCTGCCCTCATCCTTTTCCCTAACACTTACCATTAGTGCATATTGAAGCCAAAGATGCCTAAATTCCTTGATCCTGTTGGCATATACTCTGGGAATGCTGTAAGCTAGAACAAAACAAATTAAATTACTGGAACACAAGATATTGACCATTCCCATCCACATTTTCCAGTGAGTGTTTTGGAAGACGAGGAGAGGATAGGAGAGAACAGTATCTTAGTTTGAGATTCTTGGGATTTAAATATTTCTGAGATATTATAGTCCTGAGAATGAAATTTAGTGATCTGAAAACCAGGAAATCAAGACAACAGCCAGATGGACTGAGAAATCAGTTTTCTAGAAGAAAGCCAAATGTGCAGGACATGAGTCTGGAAAGTTGCTTTCCTGAGTGTCAGGAGAAGGCCAAATCTATGAGAAGATGTGCCAAACCAGGGCAATGTACCAAGAACTGAACATTGCAAACCAAAAAGAAACAGACCTTAGATTTTAACTATGGAAAGTTAATATCTGCAAAGTGATTTATTCATTACTCTCCCATTTAACAATTATTAAGCATTCATCATGATCCAGGAACTACTCTGTGCCTGAACACAGAAAATACAAGAGATAGTCTGATCCTTGGGCCGGCTGAATTGTCCTCTAGAATTTTTAAAAATTTTCTTCTGTCTAAGGGATGTTATGAACCCAAAGTCATATCTTAAGAAAAGTTTCAACCAGCTTGAATATGATGTTTCTCTACTAAAACTGTCAAAATAAAAGAAGGTAATACAAATACTCTTATGTATATCTCTTTTTCCCCAGCAGGTACTCATTTTTGAGAAATGTATAACTTTGTGTTAGTACTAGCACAAAATTGGGCTTAAACAGCAGGTAAAACACTTGAATTCATGTCCATTTCATTTCACTTTCTGCTTTTATACAACAACAAAGAATAAGATCCAAATGCAAAAGTGACTTTGAAACTTCTTTACTGAAATATTTGTATTCTCCAAATCAAGAAATCATCTGCAGGGAAGATTCAAAATTTATAGTGGAATCTATAAATTCTGACCAAAAGGAATCCATTTCTTTTTTAATTTGGCTTCATTCGGCAGCTTAACTTGAGGTGTCACTCTCATTGTAAAACAACTCATTGGATATGCTGTTAAATAAATTAGATTACATCTTCCAACTAGTAAGTTAAAATCAAATAATTACTGGATAACTTTTGAGAAACATACATAATTACAAATAAACATACGCAAACACTTCAAGGCTACTAGGAAAGCATTTAACAAATTATTGCTTCAGTCACATCAATACTTTAATGACTAAAAGGTTACATTGACTCAACTGTCTAAAATCTGCACTAGAGGAAACTGGCTTGACTGTGTTTATGAGAAAAGAAAACAAAGCATAATGATGACTGTAATAAAAAGTGTTCTATAAATGGATAATGTTATTATTCCCTCTACTCCTGTTATCATATCATTAGCTTATTTACTTTAAAGTGATTTTATACAAACGCTCATTTGAAACAACACTGAGGAAATTTTTAAATTATTTTGAATTTAATAAAACCATGATTCGTATTAAATATTAAATTTATTTTTAAACATTTTTACTCCATTTGGTAATTTAACCCTACCCAAAGTGCAAATCTATAAGGCAATTTAGCTGCTATCATTAATTCTTTATGAATTAGCTGTGACTATCTACTCTGCTCAGGAAGACTCTTATACATCTAATTAGCGCTAATAGCAAATGCCTTTAAAATGTTCAAATTGAAAGAAAAAATATGACAGCAGTTATTCTTATCAGGGAAATGTGCAGACTCTAAGGCATCTTATTAAGGGAGATAATACAGCAGTCAGTTGAAAGATGCCAAGGAGTCTATTCATTTATGTGTGTGATTATTTTTCCATTCTATATACCTACGCAAATCAGGATCTTCAGAATTCCCATAAGCTTCCAAACAAGCAGGTAAATTGGAATTCTTTTAACCCTGAATTGAGAATAAGGAATAGTAGGAGTGAGAGAAAGAGAAAATAAGGGGGAGAAGAAATAAATGGCTAATATACCCAAAGGGGAGAAAATACAGATAGTTTTCTTGGACCCTTAAAAGGGCTGGTTCATTTAATTGTTAATTTGTTCAGGAAATATTTTGGGGATGTCTGCTGTATTTGCTACTGTGGCAAGAATTGGTAATAACTTCAATGTAAAGATAGTGTTCTTGTTCCCAAGCAGCTCACAATTCAAAGGAAAGACAAACCCGAGGACGATGTGGTAATTGCTAAGATGGCTATGCAGAGAGGGCACAGCAGAAGCCTGGGGACAGTGCAGGTGTGGCAGCCCAGGGAATTCAAAAAGCTTAAGAATACAGGACACATGTGCTGTCTCTGGCAGATGGAGCAGGAGTTTGTCAAGTAGATTCAAATAAAAGGTGTTGTCAGCAGAGGGCCATGCTCAGGCATAAGGATACAAACAGCCCGCTGAGTTAAAGAAACTGCAAGATGTGTGCTGGGACTTAAGTGCAAACTCCATTTAGACAGTGGTCAGTTTCTGCTTATCATCAGAAGGAAATAATGGTGGGGGGATTAGCCAATTTGTTTCCTGAGAGGACAGTGTTGCTAACCCATAATAATTAAGCTGAGCCTAAATGAAATGAAATCTACTAAGCCATAACTTGAAAAAAAAATAGCCCTAACCTAACCCCAGTTGTGGTACAGGGGATCAATAGATTTCCCAGAGCCCAGTAACAAATCTAATTACCTGGCAATGGAAGGAAATATACCTAGGTAGTGCCTTGTGGGCCCCAGAGTGATTAGCAGGCAATGATTCACATAGTGGATACGGAGGGCAAAGGGAGGTCTTACCCACGGACAATGGAATAGGAACAGGACTGAGCAGTGGGCAGGACTGCTGTGGTGACATTGACAGCACTTGACCAGGGTTTTCCAGATGGCTAAAAGGAAATGAGAAAAATAAAGTTAGATTGCACCACATAAACTGCCAATGTCTGACCTTTTCTGATCTATGAAAATGACAATTTTTTACAGCTTAACTGAATATTTGCTGAGGGTTTTCCCAGGATCTATCATCTCCTAAGGTCTTTACATATATCACTTAAGCAAATTAAAACCTGCAAGTTCTCTGCAAGATAAATTCAGCTGTGTCCAATCTGCAGAGAGGAAACCAAAGTGGTCAGGTGACACATCCAGAGACAGAAAGCTGCTAAGGAACTGAACAACAACTTCTCTGGTTCCAAAGCCAGAGAAATTTTAAATATGCCAGCTTCTTAATCTGTAGATTGAGAGGTACAAGTGGATAATGAATATTCTAAACCCGTATAAGAAACTGGAGTTGGCTTGCATCAAGAGAGCTAGGAGCCAAGACCCAACTTCCAAGTCTGTAGGGTTTTCTTGCTCATTATTCTCTCTGCTTCTGCACTCTGCCTTCTTCCTGTCCTGAGTCTCTCTTGTTTTCTCTGTCATTGATTTCTCATTTCCTCCCCACGTTCTTCTCCATCTTTTTGCAGTCATGTAGGAATAGGCACGTAAATGTTGGTGCAGCTCAGGTAAGGTTGTAGCAATTAGCAATCATAAAGTCATATTTAAAATACAAAAGAACATGCATTTATATTAGGTGAAAAATAAAAACATAGATTAGTTAATCAAAATAACCATCATTTATCAATTTATCTAGTTTATAATTAATGTGGAGGAAATATTTGAGATGATACTCTAGTAGTCATCTCTGAGAAGAAAAATACTTCTGTCCATCTGACTACTTCCTTTAATTTTTTATTGCAATTTTACTAATAATAAGACAAAATTGTAATACTGTTATTTTCAACTCATTTAACTTTATATCCTTGTTTCTAAAAGTGATATTCATTCAAAAATATAGTGGGCTCGGAAGAAAGCATTTCAGCAACTTCTCGAACATTCTAGCAACTTTCTTTTCTTTTCTAGAAATTCCATCTAGACAAAGTTCATTTTAACTAACTGTATTTCTTCATTAAATAACACTTTAAGATATTTCACTGTGTAATCTCAAAATATAAAAACAGTAACAATTAAATTTTAATTAATTTAATTTTTAAAACTGCTGTATTTTCTCCATTCCTTACTTTTTCTTCCCCATCAGCCAAAATATTTCTCTTTGTATCATTCTTTTGGATCCTTAACTCTTCCTGAACAGGAAAGGAGAGGAGAGCCTACATATAGTTTATGAACCTAGTTAGCACAACAATTTTCTGGATAGAACTATTCATCCTGCCCTTTCAGGTCCCACTATGTTCTTTAACAAGTTATCGAGTTCCCAAAGAAAGTGGAGATAAAATTCAAAATTCATCTAAGAAAATTAAGAAAGCAGAAAGAAATAAACCGGAAGAGAAAGTGTACTAGGAATAGCATTAAAGTGGAAAGGAAGATTAAATTCTTAAAATAATAGATCTGCAGGAGACGTTGAGAGGTCACAGTATACAAAGATGACTTCCAGATAGACAAATATTCTAGGATAGCCACTTCTGCAATATGCTTTGACTCATAGATTGTTGCTCTACTGTCCTGTTCTATCCTTGACCCTGGAATTAAAAAATTACTAGCCCTATCTCAATGATTAATAATATAATTTGTGAACTGAGTGGTTTTTATTTATCAAGGATGCATTCCTTTTTCCCTTTTATGATCAGAAAACAAAATATGAGCAAATCTGACTATTCTTTCCCTTTCTGAAGTGTTTAGAAATTTTCCCTTCATAGTTTTGCAATAATCTTGTTTTCTAGGGTTAGGTTTAGAGTTAGACTGTTCACTTTTATATCGATCCTTTCTTTCACAGCACAAAACGATCATTCTTCAGCAAAGCACAAGGAGGATTAGTATACAGGTCCTCTAATCTCTGGTCATGTGTATTACTCACATATCATCTTTGGGATAATCCTGAAATCTTGCAGTAATTCACTTCTTTACTTCATGAAACAGTGTATGCAGCTCTTGTTTGAGATGCCATTTTTCACTAGAAAAAACAGACCTATTTTCTGAAGTAAAATATATTCTCATTTTGAGACAAGTTGATCTTGCCTATGAGATATTACTCTGTCATAGGCATCTCATGTTAGCATTATAAATATAAAATGAAGATTTTAGTAAGTCTGAGGTATTCCATAAGCTAAAATGTGTAATACCTAACAAGATTTAAATTCAGAACCTTCCTCTGTTTTCTGAAATGTAAAGTTATTTTATTCCATGACTTTTGTAAGATGAACATGCTCGGTACAAATGGGTCATTTATCTCTGGTTATCTATACAACCTAACCTTATCTCATTTTGACAAAAATGTATTTATGACAGCTAACTAGGTAATGTGATTATCTCATGCAGGCAAACATTACTACTCAACCTAACACATATTATCCACCTTAAAATTTCCACAAAAGCACTATACATGATAATTCAAGGGAAATTCATGAATGTACAGTTATATTTCTACCTTGGGGCTTTTTAATATCTTATAAATAACAAGCATGAATTACTTAAATCCCTCAACAGAAATACAATCTTATAACAGTACACTTGTCACACATTATCCTTCATGCAGTTCTCATCATCATCTAATTAGGAAAGTTTCCATTTGCATCAATCATATACTTTCATAATTAATTTACTGCATAAAAAATTTTTCATGTCCCACTACACATATAACTTGCAAGCTATTAGAAGAATTGATGTAGAAAGAGGAGTCCAAATATATTTATTCCATTTAACTTTGTCCTATGAGATTGTTTCCAACATGTGCTATAGGATTTCCTTTGGGTTCAGAATGAGGAAAATTTTCAGAGTATAGATACTCAAAACTGGCTCAGGGTATTTAATACTCACTATCCCTATCATCCACAGACTCCTAGTCACCCTCCCCCCAAAAAAACCATTTAATTTCCTCAGGAATATCTTTTGTCCCTTTCTTACATCTTTAGCTTTGTCCTAGTGTGCCTACTCTGTTATATACCACTGACTATTCATAATATTAATAATATGATGCTACTATATGCTAAATGTCAGGCACTATAGGATGTCTAAAAGTTTGGGGATTATTTCATATTAATATATAGTGAGTAAGAACAAATATAATGTTCATTCACTGCCCTAAGAATTACGATAAGCAAACCTTAATACCAAACTAATCCTGATAAATAGACATTGAACTAAAGAATGACTATTTTAGTTCTAGTATGACCAAACTTCACACTTACAATTCTTAAATTCAATAAAAATAGGTTCCTATATCTATTGAATAAATCTCAGGGAACAACAATGAGTCAATTACATGAGAGCCCAGCTTCTGGTGTACCCATGGAATGAGAGCAGCAAGGAATAGGTCTATTTGTCTAGAGTGGCAGGAACAGAGTGAAAAGTGCTAGAACACAGTCTTCATCACAGGATGACAGTGTAGCATTGGAATCTTGCTTGTTCAGGAAATGATGAGACACAACTTTGTGCTGGATTTTTCTGAAACAAATAGGTTTGTTTAGGAACCAGCAACAAGAGCTACAGGCAAGGTTCTGCAGAAAAAGCAGTACTTAACTCTAGAAGACACCATTCATATTGTAAACTAGGTATATACCTAACCTATACATGGTACTCAGAAACACTGCCAGCACTAACAACACAAGGAGGCCAAGAATATTACTTGAAAAGTCACTCTGACCAAAAAAGATACTATGCTTGTTACGGTTTGTATCTAGATGTCCCCCAAAAGCCTCATGTGGTCATAGGTGGGGCTTTTCAGAGGTAAGTGGATCTAGAGTGTGTGATGCCAGGATCAAGGATGTGATGCTGGGATTGATTCATGGTGCCATGCTAGGATTAAGGCTGCTCCACCCTGGGTATGAGTGCTATTCACCCTAAGGGTGGGTAGGTTGGATAACATATAAGAGACAGAAAATGTGTTGCAGCTTGTCACTTGTAGCTTGCTGCTTGCTGCCTTCTGTCTTCTTCCAGCCATGAATTATTTCTCCTCTGAAATGCCTCTTTGCCAAGTCACTCTGCCTTGGAGCCAACCAACTCTGAACTGAAACTTCTATAAACTATGAGTCAAATAAACCTTTCCTTTTTTAACTTTGGGTGTTGGGTATTTTGTCTCAACAACAAGAAAAGTAACTAAGACAATGCTGATACCTAAAGGTGGTTATTGTGGGAGACAGATGGTTATATACAACACTAAAGCTTTTGTTGTTTCATTTTTGAAAGTGCCCATTAGTGCCATGAAGAGTTTTCAGGAGATTAAGGCCAAACATTTTCTACTATCTTTTACTCTCTTACTAATTTAATGATAGGTTGAATATCTGCATGTATTATCTCACTCATTTCTTTTTTTAAAGATAGTTTTATCCTCTCTAATTTACAGAGAAATATATATGAAGAGAGGTTAATATTTTTATTCAAATTGTACCCAGCCAATAAGCTCTAGAATTGGATTTGAATTCAAGAATTCTCAATCCCAAAGTCATTGCTTTTAATTACTCTACATTTCCATCCTACCTCTGAATTTACACAAATATTGAACCCAGTCCTGAAATGGAATTCAGAGAGAACTTTATTAAGTCACTTAGTGAAGGTTATGAGGGACAAAAGGTATTTTAACTTCTCTAGCTTTGTCACTTTAACTAATTTTTCCAAAATCATCCCATAAACCTTAATCAAATGAAAATGACAACATAATTTTTAGAATTACTTTATACCATGCATCATTACTGACTTTTTGAAAAGCCTAGGTTCTATGGAACACCATTTTAAATAAAGTCAAAATATCTTTGCCTGAATATTTAAATCACATTCTTTTTAAAAAATCAAACCAAAGCATGGTGGCATACACCTGTAATCCCAATAATCTGGGAAGCTGAGGCAGAAGGATCAGAAATTCAAGCCCATTCTGGGAAACAGTGAGACCCTGTCTCAAAAAAAA